GAAGAGAAGAAGCTGAGTTCATGAAAATAAAAAACGATGGTAACCAACACCATCAGTTTACATCATTTACAATGTTTATATTTAAAGATGCCTCTTTTACTTTACTTCTGCTGTTAACTGATATGACTTATCTAAGTGATGCAGTTCACAGCTGTTGCTTCCCATTTTTAACTTAGTAAATGACATTTTCAAACACGGCTGTCTTTGAAACTGCAGTTTTCCTTCTTTTTGTAGTTTCCTTAAATTCATATATTGATGAAGATTTAAATAAAATTTCCTTCTGTACCTGTGTCAGCGAAGAGCAGAATCACCCAGATGAGAGTTAACATTCTGATTTGAATGACAGCATGGCTTCTCTCCACAGGATAGACGCTTTCTTTTCAAAGCACAAACACACAAAAGGTGCAGTAAAAATATAGAAAGTTCAGTGGCTGATAGAATCACATACGGGATATTACACTTACATATTTACTGTTTTAATATATTTTTTCATGTGACCAATAAACTTGGCTGAGATCTTGAAATATCAAAGTTTAAAGCATCATATTAAAGCATTTCTTGAAGAATACTACAGAGAAAAATGGATGAAAATGTTTTGCCCTCACTCTGTGTGAACCTCCAGCTTTTGTTTCCACACACTGATCTCTGCAGACTGTCTGCTTTCAACTGACTCTTCTTCCTCCTCCTCCTCCTCCTCCTCCTTTGTTACTTCTCTTTGCACTTCAGAAAGTTTCGCTAAGTTTAGCTTTACTCTGCTGGCCATTATTTCCTCTTAGACTGCCACCACACTTACAGCTAAAACCTCCTATCACATTATGATGTTAATGTGAAACTTTAAAAGCAGTGAAATCGGAGATAATCTTGAACATGAGGTCCTAAGCTTTCAAATATTTGGATGTTCAAAACGGTTCAATTGTTTTAAAAACAATCGTCTGACAATTATGCATTGTAATGCATTGTTATATATAGATGCATGTTAATGCTCTGCTTTATGGTGTCACTTTGATCTTTGAAATAACTTCTGTATTTGCAAGAGGAAGATTTGCTGTTTTATAAAATGTTTGTACTAAAGAAGTCGTTTAGATGAGTGATGAAATGTTTCTCCTACTGAAAATGGAAGGAGAAGCTGAACAGAATAAACTCTCTGGGATTTACGCATTCTTATTAACATTATTAAGAATGTTAATAATGATCACTTTGTTCTCTCTAAGTTCCTGTTTACACTGTAGTATTTTAATATTACAATTATTTCTGTGTAAATACAATTTGTCCTAATCAGTCATTGACAGCACTAACTAATGTAACCTTTAGACAGCACCACAGTGTGACAGAGAGAAGAACGATGTTGTAACTGACATGTCCCTCAAACATGCTTTCTGTTTCAAAGAGTGACACATTGCTTATTCTAACACTGTAAGTCAAGAATATTCATATAGTACATTTCTGAAAGAGGAAGTAATCCCTGACATACAGAAAAACAGCAGAGCAGTGCCGAAACCTTGCAGCAGGCTCTGGATGCTGGGGCTTAGACAGAGCAGGATTCACAGGGGGCCCTAGCCACCTTCAAAACTGGAACAAATGGAGAGGAATGCTGGGTCTGAACCGCCCTGGGAGCAGGAGCAGGTGCGGGAAGAGAGACAGGTTCTCGGATGATCACAAGCGAGAAAAAGAAATCATTTTCAGGAACATAAAAGTCCTTGATGAGAACCTCAGAGTACGGAACAATTGTTATGGAAGCAGGCTGATAATGAACCTTCTTCTGATAGTCCAGCACGGGTTCACAATAAACAGTATTAGATTTTTCTGGGCTGCGAACAGCAGTCTTTGCGTTCCACGGAGACGGTGGGAGCATGCATTGAACAATACAACTCTTATTAAATTTGTTTGATGATCTGAATCATTTAAGTGTGACAAAAATACAGATAAAATTGGAAACCAGGAAAGTGGCAAACACTTTTTCACACCACTATACTTGGACATTCACCTGACCGATGGACTGGAGGAACAAAAATGATGCTGCGTATAAGGGGATGAGCAGATTCTACTTTCTAACGAAGCCCAGCTGCTTTAATGTGCCCAGCAAGTTGTTGGAGCTCTTCCATGCCATCTTCCTCTGCTTGTCCACCACTACCATATCCGATTGGTTGATGTCATCCATGTAGAAGAGGTGGTTGATGATTGCTCTATTCCGTTATTGCTGTGAAATGTGTTTCCTTTCCGTTCCTGGTGTAAACAGCTTTATGTTTTCCGCAATTTACTTGCAATATACTCATTAATTGTGCACAATATTTGACTTTTTTGTCAAATAGCATTTAAGAGTGGTCAGAAGCCATATTAGTTAATTACAAAGTGAAAAAGCAGCAAAAGCTTTTTGTTCAATACATTCGCACAGGTATGGCACATATGTTTTTAAAATGATATCTTCTTTATTTTCCTGTATATTACTCTTTGTTTATACAGGGAGTGCAGAATTATTAGGCAAATGAGTATTTTGTCCACATCATCCTCTTCATGCATGTTGTCTTACTCCAAGCTGTATAGGTTCAAAAGCCTACTACCAATTAAGCATATTAGGTGATGTGCATCTCTGTAATGAGAAGGGGTGTGGTCTAATGACATCAACACCCTATATCAGGTGTGCATAATTATTAGGCAACATCCTTTCCTTTGGCAAAATGGGTCAAAAGAAGGACTTGACAGGCTCAGAAAAGTCAAAAATAGTGAGATATCTTGCAGAGGGATGCAGCAGTCTCAAAATTGCAAAGCTTCTGAAGCGTGATCATCGAACAATCAAGCGTTTCATTCAAAATAGTCAACAGCGTCGCAAGAAGCGTGTGGAAAAACCAAGGCGCAAAATAACTGCCCATGAACTGAGAAAAGTCAAGCGTGCAGCTGCCAAGATGCCACTTGCCACCAGTTTGGCCATATTTCAGAGCTGCAACATCACTGGAGTGCCCAAAAGCACAAGGTGTGCAATACTCAGAGACATGGCCAAGGTAAGAAAGGCTGAAAGACGACCACCACTGAACAAGACACACAACCTGAAACGTCAAGACTGGGCCAAGAAATATCTCAAGACTGATTTTTCTAAGGTTTTATGGACTGATGAAATGAGAGTGAGTCTTGATGGGCCAGATGGATGGGCCCGTGGCTGGATTGGTAAAGGGCAGAGAGCTCCAGTCCGACTCAGACGCCAGCAAGGTGGAGGTGGAGTACTGGTCTGGGCTGGGCAAAGAAAGGTGGCTATATTGGTCGCTGATTTGTTTTTGTTTTGTTTTTGAATGTCAGAAATGTATATTTGTGAATGTGGAGATGTTATATTAGTTTCACTGGTAAAAATAAATAATTGAAATGGGTATATATTTGTTTTTTGTTAAGTTGCCTAATAATTATGCACAGTAATAGTCACCTGCACACACAGATATCCCCCTAAAATAGCTAAAACTAAAAACAAACTAAAAACTACTTCCAAAAACATTCAGCTTTGATATTAATGAGTTTTTTGGGTTCATTGAGAACATGGTTGTTGTTCAATAATAAAATTATTCCTCAAAAATACAACTTGCCTAATAATTCTGCACTCCCTGTATTACTTATTACCGGTAGCTGCTATTTTGTTTCGTATGTACATTCTTCCACTCACCTGTAGGGGACAGAGTAAACCCTCTACAGCACAGTAGTCATATGGTGTGGTCCAAGCCTGGAGCGTCTGCACAGACAGGTTGTATACTATTATACAACCTCGTGTAATACAATTACAAGAGTTAATACTATGCATAAATGAACCCACATTGGCAATGAGTGAGAAAAATATACTTGTGTGTTAAAATAGACAATTTATCGTTGTCAAAATGTTCGCTTAATTTTCAATATCAGAGGCTGACAAATTCTACCCAATTAAACGTGATGACACCAGCTCATATAGTACATTAAGCTATTCACACATTTACTAGAGGTTGCAAAACTTCACCACTGCATAGGTCAAAGGTAGCTGCTTGCACGAATTATCTGTCGGGTTATTTCTTAGGTGCAGGCTTGTACAACCTGCCAAAGCTAATACATGAGCTGGAGAAGCTGAGGGACTATATTTTTCAAAGTTAGGCTTTCCATCTTCCTATTTTTTTTTCTTTATTACAGTGGAAAGATGAGGTGATATGCAAATGTAATGATGAAAAAAAACACTTCAGATATAATAGTTTATAGTATTTAGTGATATTTCTTTTGCATAATAAATGTTTTAGGTTGAGTTTGCCTTTATGATTCTGTTAATGTTGTTCTATATGTCAGAGGTTACTTCCCCTTTTAGAAATGTGCTGCATGAATACTCCTGACATACAGTATCGCAGTGAGCAATATGTCACTCTTTGAAACAGAAAGCATGTTAGTTACAACATCTTTCTTACCTCTGTCACACTGTGGTGCTGTCTAAAGGTTTCATTAGTTTGTGCAGTCAGTAACTGACAAGGACAAATTGTATTTAGACAGAAATTATTGTAACCTTAAAGCAGTAAAGTCTAAACAGGAACTTAGAGAGAACAAAGTGATCATTATTAACATTATTAATAATGTTAATAAGAATGTGTAAATCCCAGAGAGTTTATTCTGTTCAGCTTCTCCTTCAGTTTTCAGTAGGAGAAACATTTCATCACTCATCTAAATGACTTCTTTAGTACAAACATTTTACAAAGCAGCAAATCTTCCTCTTGCAAATCCTCTTGCATAATTGTCAGACGATTGTTTTTAAAACAATTGAACCGTTTTGAACATCCAAATATTTGAAAGCTTAGCACCTCATGTTCAAGATTATCTCTGATTTCACTGCTGTTAAAGTTTCACATTAACATCATAATGTGATAGGAGGTTTTAGCTGTAAGTGTGGTGGCAGTCTAAGAGGAAATAATGGCCAGCAGAGTAAAGCTAAACTTCCTGTAAACTTGCTGAAGTGCAAAGAGAAGTAACAAAGGAGGAGGAGGAGGAAGAAGAGTCAGTTGAAAGCAGACAGTCTGCAGAGATCAGTGTGTGGAAACAAAAGGTGGAGGCTCACACAGAGTGAGGGTAAAACACTTTCATCCATTTTTCTCTGTAGTATTCTTGCTTCAGTAATTTCATAAAAAATGATTGTAAATGATTGGTGAATACCTAACTGAAGAAGTCTGAGGCTGAGAGATTTCCATTCATAATTTTTAGCTTCTCGATGGCACAGATATCAAGAAATGCTTTAAACTTTGATATTTCAAGATCTCAGCCAAGTTTATTGGTCACATGAAAAAATATATTAAAACAGTAAATATGTAAGTGTAATATCCTGTATGTGATTCTATCAGCCACTGAACTTTCTATATTTTTACTGCACCTTTTGTGTGTTTGTGCTTTGAAAAGAAAGCGTCTATCCTGTGGAGAGAAGCCGTGCTGTCATTCAAATCAGAATGTTAACTCTCATCTGGGTGATTCTGCTCTTCGCTGACACAGGTACAGAAGGAAATTTTATTTAAATCTTCATCAATATATGAATTTAAGGAAACTACAAAAAGAAGGAAAACTGCAGTTTCAAAGACAGCCGTGTTTGAAAATGTCATTTACTAAGTTAAAAATGGGAAGCAACAGCTGTGAACTGCATCGCTTATATAAGTCATATCAGTTAACAGCAGAAGTAAAGTAAAAGAGGCATCTTTAAATATAAACATTGTAAATGATGTAAACTGATGGTGTTGGTTACCATCGTTTTTGATTTTCATGAACTCAGCTTCTTCTCTTCTGGTTTGTCTCTTTTGTTTTTGCATGTTCAGGTTCTGGGACTCCTGAGTGTCCAAAGAACAACAGCATAATCACACAAAGTGGTAAAAATGTATCAGCACAGGCTGGACTGTGTGTTTTTCTAGCATGTTCTTTTACGAAAGAGGATGGTGATGTTGAAAATATAACTTGGTATAAACATGATGGAAACATAACTAAAACAATATTTGGCTCCAGTAACAATATGAAAACTGAACCTGAGTTTAAAGGGAGGGTGTCACTGTTGGAGGCTGACCTGAAAAAGAACTGCAGCATCATTATCAATAACCTCACCAAGTCGGACTCTGGATCATATCACGCTGTCGCTAAGACAAAGACTCACTGCACACTGATTGCAAACATCACAGTCACAGTTACAGGTATCAAAACCTACCACAAATACTCCCTGCACAGTGACCACGTTATCATGTTTGATTTAAATGAGTTAGCTCAACTAAATTACAATGAGTTGTATTAACTACAGCTGCATTATGGCACTAGCACATGTTTGTTTAACGTGAGTTTAAGAGTTGTTAAATCATTACCACTCCAAAGATTTTTGTGAATAAACATGATGCTCAGATTAACACAAAGACACAACGACTTCCTGTAATGCAGGTCCTGTGTCTCCATTCATCATATATGTCAGCTAAAGTGAAAAACAGAAACTGCTGAATGTCCTTTAGTCTATTCCTTTGGTCAGACATAAACTGATGTTTGGGTATACCTCACAGAGCTTGCATCTGTCTTGGACCTTTTCAGCCTTATCTTGTACTTTTTACAATTTAAGTTACTTAACAAAGTGATCATACGTCTACTTTAAATTAGTAGTGGTTTTTATGCTGATTATAATGTCTTGTTTCATTTACTTTCCTATTAGAGCTGAGTGAAAAGCCCAAACTGGAAATTCCTGAAATAACAGAGGGAGAGCAGACTACACTGACCTGCAGCGCTCCTGGTCTCTGCTCTGGATCCACTCCTAATATCACCTGGATATGGAGTGGATCAGGACAAAACCTCTATGAAATCAAAGAAAACAACATTGAATTCCAGTCTGAGGATATGCCTGCCTTCAAGTCAACTCTGACCTTTAACGCTTCAACAAAACACAACGGTGGTCAGGTCACCTGTAAGGTCACCTGTAACGTCACCTGTAAGGTCACCTTCAAAAATGTCAAAACAAATGAGACAAAAACTCTTAATGTCAAGTGTGAGTATTACTCTTGGCAAAAGTATATTTTATCATTATTACAGTATTAGTAGTAGTAGCAGTAATTATAATAATGTTGTAATTACTGTAAGTGTAAAACTTTCATGACTGACATTATATTTTGTCTGCTCTTATTTTTTGCATTTTTTACCTAAAAAAGCAGTTTTCATTCAAATCTGGAAAGTAAATGTAATATTAATTACATTGTTGTGTTCTTCAGTATCAGATATTCTTATATTGAAGCAATGTGTTAAGACAATTTATGTTCCTATGAGTTTACTGTAATCTTGATGCTGAGCTTCTTATTCTGTTTTTGCAGATGCAGCAAGAATCTTGAATAACTCTTGTGTCACTCAGTCAAAGGTTTTGACCTGTGTGTGTATCAGTGAGGGGTTTCCTTCACCCACCATCAAATGGCCACACTTGGAGAGCCACACTGAGTACTTTGTAACAACCAATGTGTCAAACACCAGAGTCACCAGCACCATCACTGTGTCCCAAGATCACTATCACAACTCCACTATTGAATGTGTCAGCAGTAATAGTATTGGAAATACCTCATCAAGTGTCAGCCTTATAATAAATGAGTTCAATGCTAATTCATCATCATCAAACAATACAGAAAATAACTGTAAGTATTTACGAGTTAAATATTTCCCCTATACTCAAATTTAAAACATTTCAATACCTGTTTTCAGCTTTAGGTAATCAGCACGGTTTATCTCATTTGATTTCAGATATATTCACAGAGTTTTTAACGATTATTCTAGAGAAGAAAGTCTACATTGCAGTGTTGACGGGGTTTGTGATTGGGATAATCCTTTCAACAGTCATTTCTTGTTTGGTAACAAAATGTCGCAGGTAATATTACTATTCTATTTTGACATCAGTGTTTTTGTATATTTTATTTTATAAAAAGGAATATTATATTTTCTGAATTGTTCATATTAATGCTCACCATCTTCCTGGTATATTCGAACGATTTCTGTTTGCACACATGTAAATTTCTATTAGGTCATTTTTATATAAAGTTTATTATATACTGTTAGAGGTCCTAAATGGTGACTTAAATTTTTATACCAGAACTTTCCACATATAAATACCATTATATATGGGAAAGAACTGAAACACATATTGTAAAATATCAAAATTGTCAGATATTGTATTGTCACCATTATCATGCTGCAATCATTATTTACTTTTTGTGAGTTTTCATGCAGTTTTGGCTTATCTTACGTCATCAGCTTCCGGAAATTAAAACTGAGACACATGCCATCATATTTATATGTAAAGATAAAGTGCAGTTTTTTGATCCAAGATATTTTTTCGGCTTTTAACATGAGAAAAACCAGATTGAGCACAGAAAATAATCAGATTATGTGAACTATATGGGTTTTTTTTTTTGCCATGACACAACACTTCTGGTCTGCTGTGAGACCTTCACTAAGCTTCATTTCTATTAATTAATTTCTTCCCAGAAAAAAGTGGAAGAGGTCAGAAAATCTGTCTGAAAACCTGGAGATGGTGACTACTGAAGCTGGTCTAATGGTAACTTAAATAAGTACTTAGCCTTTGGTAACATATCTGAATATGATATTTATTTTATGATATTAGTTTGATTTTAATTATATTTTTGGTCAAATATTAAGCTAGTTTGGTTTCTGTCATTTTTTTTTTTTTTTTTTTTTTTTTTAAATGACAGAGACCAAACTAGCTTATTAAAAATCGCCCTATGACAGCTGGGATAGGCCCCAGCGCCCCCCGTGACCCTGAAAAGGATAAGCGGAATGGATGGATGGTTTCTGTCATGTTATTACGTCATTATTGTTTTTTATAAGCTGTCAAATTACCTGTAATTGCTGCCTTGTGCTTGACAGATGGATGCTGATCAAGCAGCAACATATGATGGGATCCGTGAGCCAGAGGACGCTGAAGGAGAAGCTGAGTCTGTTGCACAATTACCATCCAATGGAAACTGCACAACAGAGGTGGAGTACTCCGACATTAACTTCTCTGCACTAAGACCCAAGAACCCTGAAGAGGCAGCAAACACACAGGATGCCAGAGACACAGAGTATGCTGAAATTAAAAGAGAAGAAGTGAGACAAGAAGATGCCCAAGGGGACAGTGAAATGTTGGAGGGCAATGAAGAGAATGAGTTCATGAGTAAAAAGGACAATGAGGAAGGTGAGGATGTGGCGCTGTATTCCAGTGTGGAGGAATTAATGGGTTAATTATGAGAGCTGTGAGATCTATCACATTTGGAGAAATTAACATTACAAACAGAAGATACATGCATGCTGCAATCAACGTATGCGTTGAGAATTGTGTGTGCTTTGTTAGATGAGATAGAATTTCTGGGATTTTTCAATTACGAAAAATATAAGCATGTATGTAATATAAAAGGATAAACACGTTTCCACAGGACTTACAAAAATGGTAAAAATATCAGGCTGTGGTGTTTAATGTGGTCTAAACAGAAAAATGGTGGGTCGACTAATCAGATCCAGGTGGTGACAAAAAGGTTTTCATGAAATATCCTCTCATGTTATAACTTCTTTCTTTGGTATGTAAGTGGCAGTCATTAGTGGAGACTCCACTTATTTAATACAAGGAAATATTCAGATGTCAGCCATACTATGTAAATATTGTAATAAATCTTCTTATTTACTTCACCTTCAAAAGACTGTTCCACAAGAACATAAGGTGAAACTGTTTAAATTAGGGGTGTCAAACTCCAGTCCTCAAGGGCCGGTGTCCTGAAACGTTTCCATGTGTCCCTGCTGCAACACACCTAGATAACCTTAGTATGTCATTTGCAAAATTCTGTAGAGTTTGACTGTCTGCTGAGATGGCAACCCCTAACCCAAGTCAAGTAAATTTAAATAAATGAAGTGGAAAATGTACGTGTAAAAGTACTTTTATTGCACTGTGTTCATTCACGTATGAGCTGCTGTGAATCAAATGGCTGAATTCCCCATCTCAGCATGCTAATGACCTACTAATGTTATTCAGGTGTGTAGCAGCAGGGACACATAGAAAAGTTTCAGAATGCCGACCCTCGAGGACTGGAGTTTGACACCTGTGGTTTAAAACATGAATATAAATGTTAAATCTTTGTCAAAAAGTTTTTGTATGCAAACAATATTCTTTACATTTTGCATATCTCTGTATGATACATCAGGTAGAATTAGCAGCTTCATGTAACAGTCAAACATTTCATCATGTTAATAAAATTCAGTCATAAATAAGGTGAATGCAACTGAAATCAAATTCAAGCTCAGAGTGAGAATTTATTCAGTTACATTATTGAGTTTATGCAGGAGGGGAGAGAACACCTTTGCTTTGTTTTAAACCATAAAAAGCTAAAGGAAAGCACACCCTGGTAAAGCTTTTGTACAAATTCAGACCACGCATGGCATTTTCTAGTTTGACGCCTCTCAGACGAGGGTTGTCTGTGTTCTGCTGAACTGCTGTAAATAGTGCAACTGCAAAAGTCCAGCTCCACCTTTCAGGCTACTTCCCAGCTCAACAAACACTGGACTAAGGGGGTCATAATATTTAGATTTCAGGTTTCTTTTACAGCTTAAAATTGACCGTTATAGTATCTTACTGTGTCAAAATGTGAGAACAGGAAGATTAGATCCACCGATAATAGAGTGATGCCTAATAAGGAAGTATATATATATATATATATATTCGTCTGTGACTCTTGTGAGAACAATAACTAGTTCATGAATACTGTGCATGTGTACAGATGACAGTTGTAAGTAGATGAATGCTCAATCTTTGTGTTTGAATCTGCGGGTATCTAAAGCATCTTTTAAATAATATTGTTTTAATCATATATTTTTTAATATGGTTTTCATATATTAGTAATCGCACACCATCATACTTTAAACAGTATGCACTGTGTCAGCTATTTCACAGTTTAAAGTGGTGATGAGGCAAGATAAGTGAAGATAAGGTTGTTGTTGGTTGGTTGGTTAGCATGACAACACATTGTTTCTCCTGTTTTTAGCAACTGTTGTGTACTTCCTTTTTTATGATTTATGTCACTTATAGTTATTGCTACAATGAAAATACCTTTTTGTGCTCTTTGTTACATTTATTTTTAGCATACTGTGATAGCCTGAGATTGAGGAATTACTGTAGTGTGAGGAGAAGAGCAGTTATACTTTGCAGTAAATGTTTGTGCAGGTTTTGTTTTTTTTGTTTGTTTGAATAAATGGAAGCAAATGCTCATAAGTTTTTTCAGACCTGCCGTTAAACATGTTTTGGGTTTGGGGATCCAAAATTGATTCCCAGGGGGACTGCGGTAGTAAAATGTAGTCACATGAGTATGGAAAATATGAATTTGCAACATCCTGTAGTGGCATCTGTGTTAAACCTGTTTCCTGTGCAGTTTGCTTCCTGTACATTTTTATTGAGCATTCTTCTGTTAATAAAACTATTGAATTTTTAAAGAACAAAAAAAAAAAACTGCCTCTTGTCTTTCCTGAGAAGATTTCTCAACATACAGATGAGCCTGCTCTTTAAAATTAGGCGCAACAAACAACACAGTAACTGAGTTTATGTTGTTGGTCCTCACTCGAAAGTTTATTTCTCTTTCAGTATAATTTTAACCTCATCAGCACCGTTTTCAGAAATATGTAACACACTAAATTTTCTTAAAAATTGCAGTGGTTATTTTCTTTTTCTTGTTTTTTCTATTAACTATAGCACTTTAATTAACTGCTATTTAGTTATACAGTTCATTAAAGTGCAACACTTTCCTCTTTAGCATATGTAAGAATGACATACTTCTTAAACTCTGCTTCAAATAGCATTTCCTCTTTCAGGGCTTAGGTAGAAGCCTTGCAAACTT